ATGGGCCGTCTAAAAGAACAAAAATATCCCAGCTTTACTGCGCGAGCAAAACATGGACCGCGAAGGAACTCCCATCTTTATTGCGCGAGCAAAACATGGGCCGTGAAGGAACTCCCATCTTTATTGCGCGAGCAAAACATGGGCCGCGAAGGAATTCCCATCTCTTTTTATTGCGCAAGCAAAACATGGGCCGCGAAGGTTTGCTGCTAGGGATCTCCGGAGCGGGGCAGATAATCTGACGGGGCGACAATACAAAATAAAAATAAATAATGTGCTGATTGCTCCCGGCGGGGCTCGAACCCGCGACCTTCGGCTCATAAGACCAACGCTCTAACCAACTGAGCTACGGGAGCTGAACACGACAAAAAATATTGTCTATCTCCAGACCAAGCATAGCACCTAGCGAGTGCTGTCCAAACGAGCCCTAAAATCACTAGCGAGCTAGTGTCCTGCTACTCAGTTTTGCAATCAGAAATTGCAACCGCTTAAAAATGATATTGCTCCTTAAGATGCTTGCTAAAAATGTCATTAGATAAAAAAACATCATTATATTAGGTGTTTGCTCAAAATGCAATTAGAAATTGTTATGGTCAGATCAAACCAGTTGATCAAATTATATAACCAAATTGCCCTAGGTACCCCCAATAACGACATCCACACGAAGCATAAGACTTTATATGTAAAAAGTACTCCCTCCATCCCATGATATAAGAGCGTTGACACTAGTGTTGACACTACATCAGTGTCAAAAACGCTCTTATATCATGAGATGGGGGGAGTAACAAATAGTAGGCCATAAATGTGTCGTTTAATTTTGTTAGGGCAATAAGCCATTTTTTATTTTTACTTTTTGACAATCAAAATCTTCCTTTATTCAAAAATGTGGCATCGTTTACAATAAAGGGAATCACAGCATCAGCGCACATTCCAACCAAGAATTCGGAGGAGAAAATCTCACTAGTCTAGCTAGTTCGTGAGCTACCTGATTGCTCTCTCTATTACAAGGATTAAAGATAACATGATTTGAATCTAGAGGCATAAAATAAGAGTCATCAAAGACAGCAGTCGCCACTGAAGAAGAATAACCAA